AAAGCATAATTACAATAAGGATAATACTTCAGTCATGTCCCATCAAAACAGATTGAGTCACGCAAACTAACGTGTCACCTCTTTTAAACTTAAAAAAATAAAAAATATGGGTTATACTCATTTTTTAGGTTTAAACCCGACAAATCTATTTTTTTTTCTTCTTTTTGGTTATATATCTCACTCACATGATCATCCACATCTTTCTTTTCCCTTAGCTCTGTAATACTCCTAATTTTAAAAAGGATATTCCTGGTATTTAATGGTATTTAATTTATTATTTAAGTGCATTTTATTTGATTATGTGTCATTTTTTTATTTTTTATTAGGTACTTAATTGTTTTCTTTTGTGGTGATTTAATTTATTTAAATGATATTTATTTTTAGTTATTTGATTGGAATTACTTGTTAGTGTTTTAATTATTTAATTGGCATTAATGGTTTAAGTGTAATTGGTTTAGTTATTTGATTGGAATTACTTGTTAGTGTTTTAATTATTTAATTGGCATTAATGGTTTAAGTGTAATTGGTTTAATTATTCTATGTGTGTCTTATTTTATGTGTGTCTTATTTGGTTTAATTAGGTTTACTAATTATTATTTTGTTCAATTAGATTATTTGTTAAGTATTTAATGGTGAATAAGGTAATTAGGTAAATACATCTAACTAGGGTTTTAATTACAGTATAAATTAGGGTTTTATATTATAGCCGTCGTAGGTTTCTACGTTAATTGGATGGGCCGGTTAGGATTGTGAGTTGGACTTAAATGAACCTAGGGTTTAGGAAAACTCTATAAGTATAAGGTAGACGTCTGTGTAGGGTTTTTTTTAAACAAAGCACACGTTTTGTGGAAGTGGAGAAGGAAAAACGCAGTTTTTCACATTCTGCCAAGGTTTGATCAAAGCTCCGATCCCGCTTCGTCCGTGGTCCGATCGAGCTGAATTTTGGAGGAGAGATTCACGACTCAGTGACGCACAATCTGAACTAGAGTTTGACCTCGGGAACAGTAATTCGTACTCGTGAACAGTAACTGGGTCGCACAGGTTTTTTTTTTCATTCTGCCCAGATTTCATCAAACATCCAATCCCACTCCGTCCGTGGTCCGATCGAGCTGAAATTTAGAGGATAGGTTCATGACTCAGGGTCGCACAATCTGAACGGTGGAGATCAGATTTTGAGTTCGGGAATAGTGGTTCGTACCCGTGAACAGTAACCGGGTTTTGGAACTCGCCGGGATTTTTTAAGAAGACGACGTTGAAACTTTGAACAAAAGTTTCTGAGGCAAGATTCTATCCTTACTCTTTCCCTTAGGCTTCATACTCTTTGCACTCTTAAATGATTCCAGGATTAATGAAGATTAAACCAAACTAAAATGATATCTGTTTTGCTATGAAACTAGTAGTTACAGTAATGTTGTATGCTTGTTCAACCTAGACTAAGCATGTTTGTGGATGCATTGTGATTCTGTGGTTCACGTTTTTTTTTTACCACTGCTAGTATAAATTATTGGAAGGATGGGTCTAGATGATAGCTATCTTAACTTCTGTAATAGCAACTGTTGGAACTTAAATACTAGGAGGATTTGAGTTTAACACTAGATCGGTTTTGTGGAACACTATAATTTGAGCATGTCTATATACATACTATGAATATTGTTTTGATGCTTACATTATCACAGTTAGTATCAACTGTGGAGGTCAGGATTTTGTGATACATACCCTACATATCTGTATGTCATTTGTAAGGTGTTAAATGGAAGTTTTAATTAATTCTGTCTTTATATCAGACTAAAAGGAACAACTTAAATTGGGCATGTATATGTTGTTGTTGTGACCCTGTTTATCAATGCTTATTTTATCACTGCTAACATTGAATGATGGATGTTGGAATTTAGTTGATATATACTTGATTTATTGGTATTATTGACTACTGGAGGATTGGAAAGTAGGCATACTAAGGATGGGTTTGGTTTTTAAAACAATACCGTTACCTACCTACTTGGAATAAGGATGGGATTAACTAAAAGTTAAGTCACGTGGATTTGTATTGTCATGGCAACTACTTGTTGAGCGGCAATACCAGGGATTTTGGATGGATTTTATATATGTACTGTTATGGTGCCTCGGTATGAGCTTGAGCCTCAGGACCGATGGCTAGGGAGCGTATATGCATCGGGATGTGTAGCTGGCTACGATGGTTGGAAGTGTACCCTACTTAGGTATAGGTACATATGCCCACTTCGTGTGCGTTTTAGCATGTTACCTCTATTCAGGTTGAGACCGGCCTGTAGTCCAGTGAGAGTCCTTTAGTGTGACTATATATATATTTACGGACTATCAGCTATTGTTGAATTGTTTAGGATGTACATGCGTGTCGGGCCTCTGTTTGGATTGTAGTAGTATAGAACTTGCGCGTGGGCCTGACCCACTTCTATTTTTTCAGGTACACGACAGTTCCAGGCTTAGACGTGTTCGTGTTGAGCAGAGGTCTCTATTCACTCTTCTGACGATGTAGGGTTCTCTCTATAGTTTTATTTCTGGACGTTTATTACAGTTGTTCTATCTTCCGTTTGGATGTTTAATAGGGGTCCACTAGAGATGGATTCCCAAGTTGTAAACTAATGGAGTTTTGGAGTTTGGGTTTGATGGATTTTAATAATTATAATATTTTGCGGATTCTATTTTTAGTTCCTTCCAGCTTTAATTTCATTTCTTAATTTATTTTGTATTCCGTGTTCATTATAAAATATTAATTGTTTGATATTCCCTCGGGTTTGGGCCTGGGCCTGATCAACCCGTGTCTCGGATCCGAAGGGTATCACAAGCTCCAACTATCAATCATTCCAAATTCTAATATTTCTTACTAGACCTCCATTTTTTAGAATAATAAAAATTTTGGCAGTTTTTTAGAATTTTTAAAAATATAGATATATATATGAAATAGTTTAAAATTACTCAACTTTGAATGTATCTGAGGATACCAAAAGTAACCTGGGCCGGGCACGACCCAGATTACTAGAAACGGGTCTGGAAAGAACACTTTACTTAATTAAACCGTCACTTATTGGGCCCAAGGCTGGAAGATCAATCTGGAAGCCCAATCTTCAAGCAAAAGAAATGGACCCATATCCGTAATGAGCCCAAAGGATCAGCCCAGCGTGAGGAGTTAGTTAGGAAGCTTATAGAATGTTTGTAACAGTCTATAAATAAACTAAAAAGAGAGGGAAAAGGGGTTGAAAAATTTCTTGAAGTGTAAAACTATTCTGTCCAAATTGAGAGAGGATTTTTTTTGAATCTTTAATGGTGCCGTCTGTAGGAAACGATCGAGATTGATTCGTGAAGAAAAAGGTTGATCTCTAGAAGTTGGATTCAGATCGGCGAGATCATGATCTATCTTGCAGAGTCTTGGTTCTAATTGATCTTTAGAGATTGGAGTCGGATCTGCACAATCGCGATCTTTTTAGCAAAGCTAGATCTGACGAATTCACGTCAGGAAAGATTCAGATCCAACTAAAGGAGATTAGAATTCAACCAGTCCGAGACCAGATCTAGTGCATTCGCATTAGTAGAGTTCAGATCCGATCAAGAATTCAAGGCTAATGACTCTGCTCCGATCAGGAACGATGATAAGAGGTGAGAGTTCTAATCCACAAGAGAATGACCAGCAAACGAAGCTCGATGAGTTGATGAGCATGATTGAAGCTCTAAGAAGAGAGAATGCGAAATTAAGAGCTGGAATGGAGCGTCGAGAAGTTCCGATTGTTCCACAACCACCTCTAGTAGCCCAAAGAATTGTGCAAACGAATGTTGCTCGCCAGGTTGAACAGGAAGGGAATGTTCACCTGGATTTTCAGCGCGAAGAGATCAGACCCGACAATATTCCACCAAATGTTCATCATGTAGAAAATTGGGAAGGATCTGTCCATTTGGATCCACATCACGAACGGATTAGAAGAGAAAAGTTCATGGAGATCGATCCACATCGTGAGAGGCTTAAATGAGAAGAAACTATAAAGTTCGGTCGCTATAAAGCCACACCATCGTGACAGTGGGAGTTGACGGAGGAAAGGTCATTTGATCCTCCTTACCAACCGTCGATGGTCGCGTATGATTATAAAAGTTCAGACAGGAGGTCTGTTGATTAAAGGATTCTCTCAAGGTCTCCGAGGGACAATGAAGCCCTCCGTTCAGTAGCACGAACAGTTGATTCACCATTTATTGAGGAGATCCTGAATGTTCCGAATCTGAGAAAGTTTTTTATGCCAGTTTTCATTCTGTTTGATGGAACGAGCGATCCGATCGATCACGTTTACCATATTCAATTAAAAATAGCTCTGAACACGGAGAATGATCCTTTAATGTGCAAGTGTTTTCCTACAAGTCTGACTGGACCGGCGCTCAATTGGTTTAAGAACTTGGCAAGAGGCTCAGTGGATAGCTTCTGGGACCTGTGTGATAAATTCATAAGCCAGTATTACGGGAACAAGCGTCCGGCCAAAAATATTTTAAGTCTGTTCATAATGAAACAGCATGAAGATGAATGTCTCCAAGCTTTCCTCACCAGGTTCAATCTCGTCAAACTAGCAATGAACCGAGGGACACCGTTCTATACAAATCCAATGGTGAATACGCCGAGAACCATGGACGAGCTGAATGAAAGAGCTGATGGCTTTGTGCGTTTGGAAGAAGAAGAAGATGCTAACACAAAGAAGACATCCTTGGTCGTGACGGAAGAGAAAACCAAAGCAAAGATCAGACAAAAACAAGCTCTACCACAGCGTTAGACCCCCTGGAAGGCAGAAAAGAGGCCTAAAGAGGAGGAGTAAGTCACTCCACTCAAAGTCACCCTGGCGAGGTTGTATCAAGAGAATAAAGATAAGTTTCGCTCTCCCCTAGCAATTAAACAACCTTTCGAACAGAGAGATTAATCTAAACATTGTGCTTTCCATAATGATTTTGGTCATCAGACTAATGAATGCAGGAACTTAAAGAGACAAGTGGATATGCTGATAGCAAAGGGAGAGTTTGTAGGGTACGTTCAAGGGCCGGCAGTGGAGCAGAATCGACTGGCTGAGCAAGTGAAAAGAAATCAGAAGTCGAACTACCATGACACCCAGCTTGTTCGGATAATAAATACAATTCATTGCCAACCTGAGCAAACCAAAGAGTCAGAAAAATTGCTCCGAACGCGTCTCCATCAAGCACAAATGAAGAGGAGGATAAGCAGTGTAAATACTCTACACCAGCAGAGTGCATCAGCACAGATAAAATTTGACAGGACGGATTTGCTGCGAGTTCAAATACCTCATCAAGATACTCTGGTCGTTAGCTTGACGGTGACAGAGTGTTTGGTACGAAGAGTTTTAATTGATCCAGGGAGCAGCACGAATGTCATGCTAAGAATAACGTTTGACCGGCTCGAGATCATCAAGCTAGAAAAGCTCAAACCAACTGGAAATCCCTTGTTAGGATTCGATGGAAAATGAGTAGAGCCTATTGGTATGGTAGAATTACAGGTTCGAGCTACTGAGAGAGAGCTGATTGAAAGCTTTGTGGTAGTCGAGATCTATCCGTCTTACAATCTTTTGATGGGAAGAAGGTGGATTCACAGGGTCCAGGGAGTCCCGTCGACTTTGCACCAGGTGATGAGATGCTTGAGCCCAGATGGAAATAAGGTGATTGATATCCATGGGGACCAAGTCGCAGCCAAGGAATGCTACTCTGTAACTCTGAAAGCTGTTGGGAAGGGAAAAGCTCTCGTCCGATCTGATAGCCCAAGATAGCAATTACAGGAGCCTCCATCCAGTGAGAATGGGGAGGGGGAGCCTTCGGTCCCTACCGAAGAACCTCTAGTTGATGTGCAAATTGATCCTCAAAGGCCAAATAGAACTACGAGAGTAGGGTAAGGGCTTGCAAATGAGGAAAAACACTAGTTGGTTAATTTCCTGTCTCAGAACGCAGATATGTTCGCCTTGAGCCATTCAGACATGCCAGGGATCAATCATTTTGTTTCTTGTCATTCCCTCAATGTAGATCCGAACGTCAAGCCTGTAAGACAGAAGTAGAGAAGGTTCGCCCCGGAGCGTAACCAAATCATAGCTGATGCAAGTGACTGGTTGCTAGAAGTAGGGTTCATTAGAGAAGTTCAATACTCGTCTTGGCTCTCAAACGTGGTTATAGTGCAAAAGAATAATGGTAAATGGAGAGTTTGCATTGACTTTACCAACCTAAACAAAACTTGTCCGAATGATAGTTTTTCATTACCAAAGATTGATCAAATGGTGGATGCCACAACTGAATATGAACGTCTAACCTTTCTAGATGATTATTTAGGCTACAATCAAATCCCTATGGATCCAAACGATGAAGAAAAAACTTACTTTGTCACTGAGCGAGGGATCTATTGCTATAAAGTCATGCCGTTCGGATTAAAGAATGTTGGGGCCACCTACCAAAGACTGGTTAGCAAGATTTTCAAAAGTCAAATTGGAAAGACTGTGGAAGCTTACATTGATGACATGGTGGTAAAGAGTAAAAAGAAGGACCATTATTTACAACACTTGCAAGATGTGTTTGAGGTGTTGATAAAGTACGGTATGAAGCTGAACCCAACCAAATGCTCGTTCGGTGTGGGTTCTGGGCAATTTTTGGGGCATGTGGTCAACAACAGAGGGATTGAAGTTAGTCCAGCCCAAGCAGAAACTCTGATAAAAAATGCAGAACCAAGCACGATTAAAAAGGTATAAGCTCTCACCGGACGAATAGCAGCATTAAATCGATTCATTTTTAGGCTGTCAGATTGCTGCAAACCATTCTTTGATATAATAAGAAGCCACAAAAGGCAATCTTGGGGGGATGAGCAACGACAGGCACTGACCAGGTTGAAAGAGTATATGCGGAACCCTCCAGTCTTGACTGTCCCAAAACCAGGTGAAAAGCTTTTCATGTACCTTAGCATGTCCAGCATTGCAACACGTGTTGTTTTGGTGCGGTGTGAAGAAAGTAAGCAGTTCCCAGTATTCTATGTTAGCAAAACATTGGCCGAGCCCAAAAGAAGGTATTCGAAGGCTGAACAAGTGATCATATCATTGGTGAATGCAAAGAGGAAACTCAGGCACTATTTCGAATCCCATCCAATCGTCGTTCTGACCACTTTTCCTATAAGGGTGATCCTGCATAAGCCAGATCTATCGAGAAGAATGACGAAGTAGGCCATAGAGTTGAGCTCATTTGATATAACGTATGAACCCAGAACGGCCATCAAAGGACAAGCGGTGGCTGATTTCCTGCTGGAATGTGATGTAGAAGACACAGAGGAAGATCTTGGAGATTCTTTACGGAAACTCTTCGTTGATGGCTCTTCAAATCAAATGAGGGCAGGAATTGGGATCAAACTGCAGATACCAGAAGGCACCACGCTAAGTCAAGTGATCAGACTTGAATTCAGAGCAACCAATAATGAGGCAAAATACGAAACATTGCTGGCTGGACTGAAGCTGGCTAAAGAACTGAAGGTCAAAAGTCTAGTTGTTTTTAGCAATTTGCAGCTGATTATTCGATAAGTGACTGGAGAATACGGAACTAAGGATGAGACAATAGAGGCATACCATTCTGCCGTTATGCGTGAAGTAAAGAGCTTTGATCAAATCAGGTTCATCCAATTGCCAGGAGAACGTAACGAGGATGCCGATCGATTAGCCTGCAATGCGTTAAGTTCTGGAGAAACATTGGCAAGGGTGATTCTAGTTGATGTGTTGTGTCAGCCATCTATCTTTGAGGAACTATTTAGCTCAGATCCCCAGCAAATAAATGTCATACTATATGAGCCGAGCTGAATCGATCTAATCATGACTTTTATACGAGATGGTGTATTGCCCGAACGAAGAGATGAGGCAAGGAAAATCAGATTGAATGCTGCAAAGTTTGCCATTGTACATAACCAGTTGTATAGAAGGTTTTTCTCAGGTCCGTACTTGAAATGTGTTAGCCCCACAGAAGTTAGGTAAATCTTGCGAAATATCCACTAGAGTGTGTATGGCAACCATTCAGGGGAGAGATCTCTAGCGCACAAAGCGATGACACAAGGATATTTTTGGCCGAACATGTTGCGAGATGCAGAAGAATTTTCTAAAAGATGTGACAAGTGCCAAAGGTTCGGACCACTAATCCACCAACCACCTGAAGACTTGCATGTAATGGCCAAACCATGGCCTTTCGCGCAATGAGGGATGGATGTGGTTGGCCCTCTGCCGACCGTGAGATCACAGAACAAATACGTTCTGCTTATAACAGATTATTTTACCAAATGGGTGGAGGCAGAGCCATATCCTGGTGTGACCCAGACTCAAGTAAGATATTTTATCTAGAGTAATATCATTTGTCATTTTGGCGTGCCAAGATCGATCGTTATGGACAATGAGACTAATCTCGACAGTAAGCGAGTGATGAATTTGCTAGAAGAATATAGAATCAATCAAAAGTTGGCAGCTGTTAGCCAACCGCAAGCAAACGGTCAAGCTGAAATCACGAACAGAATAATCTTTGCTTGTATTTAAGAAAAAGCTTGAAAAATAAAAAAGGGAAAATGGTTAGACGAGCTTTCGAATGTCTTATGGGCTTATAAAACAACCCCTAGATGGCCGACCAGATAAAACCCATTTGCTATGGCGTATGGCACCAAGGCGGTAATATCAGTTGAGCACTTAGTTCCAACTGTTCGAAATTTGGCGTGGAATCAAGAGCAGAACAATAGTATGTTGAATTTTAATCTTTATTTGCTGGAGAAGAAAAGAGATGCAGCAGTAATAAGACTCGCGTCTTATCAGCAAACGCTTATGAACAGTCACAACAAAAAGGTGAAGCATAGGGACTTTGCGCCTGGTGAGTTAGTTCTGAAAAAGAAAGTGGGAATTGTCAAAAAGATGATGTCACCTTGGGAAGGTCCATACAGAGTTGTAGAAGCCACAAGGAAGGGGTATACAATTTAGAGACCATGGTTGGAAGATTGGTCAACAAACCATGGAATGTCACGTCTCTAAAAAGATACTACCAGTAAAGATTGAATTCCATTATGAAAAATGTTCATTTTGAGTTACGTAATTGCAAATGTATATAGCCTCTTCAAGATTTATAAAAAGAGTTCATTTTGTTTCAAAAGTTGATTGAGTAAAAAGCACTTAGCCAAGTAAGTGGCAAATGGCACTATGAGCCGAACGCCAAACACTTGCATAAAATAAAAAAGTCAAGTGGCAAGTGACATTTTAGCCGAGCACCAGGAACTTAGCCAAGTAAGTGGCAAATGGCACTATAAGCCGAACGTTAAACACTTACATAAAATAAAAAAGTCAAGTAGCAAACGACATTCTAATCGAGCGCCAAACATTTAGCCAAGTAAGTGACAAATGGCACTATGAGCCAAATGCCAAATACTTGCGCAAAATGAAAATCAAATAGAAAAATTAAACTATCAGCTCATTTAAGCACAAGTTGGAGTATGGAAACTTTGCAAAAAAAAAAAGTAATCATTTCATTCATCATTATAAAATAATTCTTGAAGTACAAAAAATGACACTGAAATGAAAAGAAATAAATACAAAAGCCAGCAGAACATTATTCTGTTGCATCCTCTTCTGTGCCTAATCCGTAGCCTGTTCCATCATCCTTGGCTAACTCATCATCACCGGCCGGCTCACTGTCTCCCTCTCCATCATTGGATGCTTCATCACCTCTGGAGGGAGAGTCAAGATGGATGATCTCCTCAGTTGGTAGAGTTCTGTCAGTGGCAACAGCTGTGGGAGGAACAATGGTGGTGATGGGAGGAACATTCAGAGGACGAACAAGTGGGATGACCCCTGAAGCTGCAATCTCATTGTATTCAATAAATATGTTTTCGACAAGAGCAGTGAGTGGATCCTTGTAAACATTTGGCGGGTCAATGTCCAGGGAGACATCTAGCTCATCCGGACCTGCACATGAGCTTGATTCGCCTTCAAGGAGAGAACGGTCAATAAAACCGTTTCTATATCCCTTGGCATATCTAAAAGCCCCGATTATGGAAAAACGAGAGTGAAGAGCCCTTATGAAACTAAGAGGACGCCGAGATTTCATAACAGAAATCACAGGCAAGTTCTTTTCTTTTTCTCTCCCGTTGGCCTGTGTTCTGTGCACCTAGATAGTCTCTAGGAGATTAATTGGACGTTAATTGAATCTAGCATGTGTAATATATGTTAATTTGATTATCTGTTGTGTGTTGAATTTTATCTGAATTAATTCTTGCATGTATAGAGTTCGTCGTCTGTTTTGGCATAACAAGTCGATATTGTTTTAATCATTGTTATTGAGTCTTACTGTTATAAACCAAGGTCTGAAATAATACTAAATAAGATTTAAGACCCTTAGGTTCAGTTTAGATGAAGAATAGTAAGGTTGGAAGCGGCCGGAGACGAAGCAGACGGTCAGAAACGGAGGAGGATTGGACCAGAGGCTT